GAATATATTACGAAGCAGTAATGTTCACAATATCACAACTTTGACCAACTTTTTTAATGTATGTTAAGTGTACGATTTGTATGTTTTGTGAGGTTTCAGCATCAATATTTGTCTTTCAAATACAACTGTCAATATTCTGAAAGAGTGTGAACAGCTTTTTCTAAAATAAGCCCTTTGACCAAATGTTTGTATACTCATGTTTCAAATATTCATCTCTAAAACGTTGGCCTGTCTACTCTGCTGGATTGGCTCTTGCGGTTCCTAACAGTCATTGGTTCAAACACAATTCAGTGTTGACAGAAGTTTCTCCAGCCACCTCAAATGCCTTTTTATGGAGGTAACAGACAGTCGAGCCATCTGCTACGGGAAAGGCCTCAGTTGTGGTGATTTTCCATAACAAACAATAGCGTATTATTAATAGTGCTCCCATGTGTATGGTGTTATGCAGAATGCCTGGATATCTTGACAGCGTGTGTGTGTTGGGGACATTTACACAGTGACATGTAGAGACTCAAGTCCCCATGACCTTCTAATTTGTGCCTAGGACTGTTTTAAGTTTGAAAAAGAAAAAGGGACACAATGTGTTCTGTTTAGTCTTAAATTGTGTAATCTGGTACAGACATTGGGCAACCTTTTTATTAATTGCCAAAGTAAGGATTTTTGAAAATGACAACGTTTTTAAAAGAAATATTCTCTCTGTTATCAGTTCCTAAATACCAAATACTTTTTGTTCCATGTAGTTTAATAGATACAACAATTTTCTTATACTAGAATTAGTCCTTGGTCACATGGGGCTACTGGTTTTTTACCTCAAGTATCAGAATCCCTTTATTAGTCCCACTGAGGGGTAATGTACATTGTTACAGCAGAAAAGAGCCAAAGACAGCTTAATGTTTCCTAAGCATGCATACACAATTAATTATAATAAACAAGTTACACATTTTACAGTTCATAGGATTTAGCAGCCAGTTATGATGTAATATATGTTAAAAAAAAACAATGGTCTCTTTTGCCCAAATATTAAATATGCTATGATAAAAAAAGAAAGCCAATTGAAGTTATCTATTCTGAAAGTGTAGCAGCCCAGAGAGCACTCCACCACTAAAATGTCAGTGTTGTGTGCAATTTGTTATTACCTCCACCAATGAGTTCATGCTTTTGGTTCTGTCTAAGTTGTATTTGTCTTTATGATAACAGAAAACTGGCAATATTTTCACGAAACTGAGCGGACCAGACTCATATTGGATATACATACTGTATATTGGAATAATTACAAACGACAATACAAATATTGAGGAGAAGCCTACATGTTTCCTGTTTTCACTTATTTATACTTATACAAATTCATGTATTTAATGTTTTTATACCTCAGTAAGGCCGTTTGTCTGTGTGTTTCATTTTTTACCTGGCAGCAAAACAAATGTCCCCTCAACACAGTCATGATGTAACACACCACTGGCTGAGAACCAATGGCCAAGGGCATCAAAAGGGTCAAGAAAGTTCTGGAAAATAAGTACCTGTATCAGTGCATGCATGGTGATTTACTAAGATCTGTTCTTAAAGTATCAGAAACATGACAGCTCTATAGATAAGATGGAGTGGAAAGTCCATGACCACAGTTTCTTTCACAACCGCACAAAACGATCTTTATTTGGCAGGCAAAGGAAATGATGAGATGATAAGACTCGATTCTCGTGTAAATGTAGTTTCCTGGAAATTATACTTTGCTTATCTGTTAAGTCTAACTTGAAGAGTACTGGTAAAGTCAGCAGGAAAGCATAATCTCTCATTCATGTTAAAACACCTAATGATGTTCCTATGTTATGTTGTAAGACACAAACTGATTGTCTTACTGTTTGCGTGTGGGCACCAGCAGAGGGCCTTTGGGGACAGGTCTACTTGGCTGTATTAGTGTTTGTATGGCAGGCCTGGATGTGCACAGGGGTCAACTGAAAGATCACCTGGTCAGCGTAATGCCTTAAATATTCTGTAAAGCACGAGGGGGACCAAGCAGGTTCAGGACGCGGGCCAAGTTTGGCTCTACCCCCCTCCGAGTCCGACACATCCAGGACATCCATCAGTGGAGCGCCACAGCCAACTATAGCAGAACACCAAGAGCTTATTAAATGTAAACGGGCTGAAGAGGGACAGTGAAGAAGGTTAAAGGGAGAATAAAAACTGAGACATGGATCTGTCATGATCTAACTTTGAATATAATAGATATAAAGAGCAAGATTGGAGAAACAGAAGTGGATGGATGGACTTCTTTGATACAAACATTTGCAGCGCTTCACAAAATAAGCTAGATAAAGGCTATGTGTGTGTGTTCAAAACAAATCTGTACATTCTTGTTACTCTACTTTACTATTGTAAATCGAATTTAAAGTAAATGCGTAACTATTAATGACACTTTTATTCTCATCTGACAGAAATTATAAAATACAAACAGTAGACAGCTGATGCAGTTGAGCAACACCTCATATTTCATATATTTCATATATGTTGTATTAAATGCCTGTTGCCTCAACTCCTATCTCCGTGGCCCTTTCTCACTTCTCTTATTTTTCATTTCCTCGCTCCTCGGTCTCGGTCTCACCGGAAGTTGATTTGTCTGCGCCATCTTGAGTAGCGTCCCAATGGCCTTATTTTTGTCGGAGGAGCGAGGAGCGATAATCGAGGAGCTAAAACCGAGGAACCACCAGACCATCCTTCGATGAAATCCTCAGACACTCGCCCCGCCCCCTTACTGTGTATCGCTCACTGATTGGACGATGCAGCGCATGCACTGATCTGATGCTTCTTGACATGAGAGCAGTTTCCCAGCGGAGTGAAGAAAATACATGAACCTCACGGGAGTCACTCCTCAGTTTATACTGTGTTTTGTTTCAATTCATGTTTAATTTAGTTACAAACATGTGATATATCTGAACAACAAAGTGGTCAAAAATCATTTTATTCATTTTTTGGAAACATTTTCATGATCGCTTTTTTCATTTTACATTTTCATTTATTGTCATTTCCATTCAGTCAGTCATTAAGTGCTATTAAAATGTTAATGTGCTACATATCCACACAAACAAACAAAGTGTGCAATCCAATGAATGTTAATCTAACTGGGTTTTGATAGATAACATATCTCTTTTTCTTCTCTCAATTATTTTATTTCTATTGTGCACTCTAATCAATATTAATCCAACTAATGTTCGTTTATACATTTTAAGAATGGCGTTTATCTTTTTTGAGAATGAGTTCTTATTTGATTTTATTTATTTGGGTCTACAACAGATGATACAAATGTTTGTGTCAGTAAATGTGTAGGCGGGGGTGTCCCATTGCTCTTAAAACTCATTTCCCTGCTTCTCGTGGTTTCCTTGCGTCTCTCCATGCTTCCCTGGTGGGAGGGACTAGTCACGGGGAAACGACGCAAGTGAGGGACGCAAGGAATCCATTTAACCGAAGTGAGAAGGACCCCATGTGTCTTTTCCTCACCTCCTGTTTTCACCTGACAGGACTTAAATGTGATGAGAGGAAGCAAGGAAAGGAAAGGCTTGGCTCTGTTTCGGGTCATTGGTAAAGCGGGAACACCTGGCCCATTAGCAACACCTGGGCTCGTTAACGACACCTGTGCCTGGTGCACGGTTATAAAGTCCCTTAGAGCTCAGTTGCTGCATTTATTTGGGCCTTTGTGTTTCTGACATTTCTACTCATACACAACAATAATTCTGGAGTTACTAATAACTCTACCTTTAAATTATTGTTGTTCTCCTAATTAGCCTGGTTGTCTGCATCTCCCTCTTCTGTCATGGCCATGCGGTCCATTTTGTGACTTCACGTGCACATTGTTTAATGCTTCTTCAGTTTTATGAATAAACAAATTGTAATATGTATTATATCACCCACCAAATCCAAGTTTTATTTACAAAATACAAAATATTCTGAATATACGTAGCTGGAGCTGATGCTGAAATGCTGTTGCACAGACAGACTTGAGAATAACTTTATACTGGAGAACTACAAAAATACGAAGTCACATAGTTCATGAACAAAGATGCATTTCATTTGTTGTTATGTTAACATACAGTATGTACAATCTCTGGATAGTCACTCAAAATGGAACACTTCCTCATTCTTAGTTCTTGATATTTCGCTACATAAAACCTAGTGCCTGGAGGCTTTATTTTTATTTTATTTTCATTAAAACCCCCTTCATGTATTTATTTTTTTATCAAAGACGCTTTTTTAAATGTTAAGGCAATTGTAGGATTTGCTACTCCATGTAAATACAGATATTATTTTATGGGGCTGGGAACCCTAACCCTTGTTCCTCAGGCTACTTCCCAGTATGCTGAAAACTAAAGGAATCAGTACTGCCAGATGTTATTAAATATTTACCTGACTATTCTGTTGTACAGATTTCTCATTCAAGACTTATGATTTATAAAATATTGTGCGTTTTTATTAAAATACCAGAGGAGCATGGCTTGATCGACCTGGTATCTTTACAAAAAAAACACCATCAATATAAAGATGCAGGATGAAACTCAGGCAATACATTGTTCTAGTAGTGTTATAAAGTGGTATAAAGTTGTTTCAATCAGCCTTGTCTTGTCCAACTACATACTAACCTACATTTTGATATCAATTATATTAATAATAAAAACCATGAATATAGTGTATGATACGTGTTTTGACTTTTCAAATATAAAGTAGTTAAGCCTTCTGGTTATAATATATTATGTAAGTACACATTATTGCATCTGAATATTTCTTCCACCACAATAACACCAGCATCTGTATACTTTATGATGTTTTCTGAGTACTCCTGTCGTTTAAATTGAATATATAACCCAAGCTCTAGAGATATATGGTACCCCTCTACATGATGTAAACACCATACGTTTCAGGCACCTTTTTTTGCATATTCGACATGCTGCCTATGCCTATAGAAGCTTTATATTATATACATATTAGTCTCTACCTTCACCTCGCCATGCCCAGAATTATTCCCTGATTTTGTCATTTTCTACTGTCTGCTGCGGCTCAATCACGTTCACTTTTTTAAGCCAGTCCTTTTCCACGTAAGTTTTGACTTCCGCCACTGTACACCTCTTTGCTAAATCAGGAGCAAGGAGCTTACTAAACATCTCCATAGCTTCTGGGGTGAACCTTTGCCACAAAGGAGGAACGTCCTCCTCAGTGGTTGGTGTCTCCTCCATTGTGCACCAGTCTGCAAACTCCTGGTAGAAGTCATCCGAGTCCATGCAGCGCTCCCAGGGAAAGTAGCCCGTGAGGATGCAGAAAATAACCACCCCGAAGGCCCAGGTGTCCAGGCTTGGCTCCACACTAAGCGGAGGGGTGGTCACTTCTTTCTGGCCCTCCATTAAGGCAACGGTACAAAGCTCCGGGGCCATGTAGGGTAGTGTCCCTGTGATAAATCGTATCATAGTTCCTCTCTTCTGGGCCAGGCCAAAGTCTGCTAGTTTGACCTGGCAGCAGTGATTGTCCAACAGGAGGATGTTTTCTGGCTTGACATCCCGGTGGACCAGGCCATGGCTGTGGATGAACTCCAAGGCACTGGCGATCTGGACGGCACAACGTTTTACTGAAGATTCTGGAATACCCACCTAGAACAACCAGACAAAGGAGGGATAGAGCTCTTTGTGTAATGTTTGAAGGTTTCAGAATAAAGATTGCACTCTAATCACAAAGCACTACATACAGAAGGAAAGGCTAGAGGCAAATGTTCAAAATGTCAGGCCCGCCCCTCCCTACACGCAGATCACGGATACTGCGTGGGGCCCCATCTTGCGCAATTAAGCGCGCCACAGGGCTCGGGACACAGAGGGCCTCATCACCCCCTCATAACCAGGGGTATCATAACTCTGCGTGGGGCAAGGGCAGCCCTGTTCAGATTTTCCTACATCAAGTTTGAGTCTGCATGGCTGCATAAGATGCAAATAATGGTTTTATACATTTAGTTTGGCATTGTGTGAGTATTGGTGGTTTACTCTGGGTCCATGCTCCTTTTAACTTGGCATGTTGGTGCTACTATCCACACCCTTGATTAATGATGCTGTTAATGCTGTCTTATTGGTGCCTGTAACATTACCTCTGATAGATAGTAAGGCTTGTATGAATAACTGTTTCAGAACTGATGGTATGATTGGTATTGGATAGGCTAGGTTGCCATACAACATAGTGATTTCTGCCAATGCCACTGGGCCAAGCCACTGCTGTGGAGTTTGAATTGTTTGTACAGCTTCAAGTTGTCTGCCTTTTCCATGATTTATTCTGCTGTTGATTCAATAATATGTGGAAGGTTACTGAAGCATGACAACGCTTGCTGCGCCCACCACGGTGTCCACAGAGTTTTAATTGATTGTTGAGTAGTTGTATTCAATTGTTTGAGTTTTGTTTCTTTCCTTGTTAATTATTGTGAGGCTACACATATTAACATGCTCACACTGACATGTTGTTTTTGACAGATATAATATAATATAATGGTAAGGCAAAGTTCTGTCCATAACAATTATATTTATTGTTGGTTTGGACTACAGGGCTAATGTTGCTGTTTTTGGATTTACTAGTGTACATAAACTCAGTAAAGTGTACCCAGTACATTTTAACTGATCAACATTTTACTAATAAGTACCTTCAAGTAGGGCTGTGCGATTATGGCAAAAATCATAATCACGATTATTTGGGTCAATAATTGATATCACGATTATTTTGACGATTATTCATTGACCATTTATTGAACTTTAAAACAAATAATATTTTACCAATAAACAAGATCAACAAATATGTTGGAGCGCACTTCCAAAACCATACTAAACATATATTAATATGATAAATAAAAATAAATTAGACCCAAATAAATGAAATCAAATATGTTGCAGTGCACTGTCACAACCTACTGAAAACTCCTTAACATATAGCCAACATTTTGGTAAAACATATTCAACATATTCCACTCAGTTAAACGTTGAAGGCTGGCCAACCGTCATGGTCCAGAAGTAACAGGAAATAAATGTTGAACTACAATTTAAGACCAAATAAAAAAAATGTGGCCACCATGGCAAATGCTGGTAGGGCTGCTCATGTCATCTCTTAAAGATGTTTTGCAATAAACACCAGGCTGTTTACATGGTCTGGTTTCAGAGATGAGCGCAGGCAGGTGACAATATTGCCACCTGTACTGAAGACCCTCTCTGAAGAGGAACTTGTGGCAGTGCTGCCACATATGACACAGGACAAAGAAAATACTCTGAACCCTTTCTTTGCTATTATATAAAAATAGTGTTGCTACAAAAGTATAAATTAGGCTTACTAATAAGACAACTCAGATCTGAAGCTACAGGAATCTGCTGCCAACGTGCAATAAAAAAGACAACATTAATAGAATCAAACCCTTTTTTTGTTGAATTTTATTAGAGTATAAAAATAAATGCCTTTAAAATAGGATGCAAGCAACACTAGTTTCTTAACCTGAATTGATAATAGACTATAATCAATTTAAACAGAACAGATCTTAATGTTTGCATTCTTATACCATTTTGTACAATAATTATAATGAATAAGTTCAAACAAACTAAAACTTACAGCTGATTAATAACGGTATCTAACTTGAGTTTTTATTATATCAAAAACCTGTTGAAATGCTACTGTTATTTTTACTGTCCCCAAAAAGCGCGTCGGCAGCCTCCAGGAAAGCTTATTTCACAACTTCGCCATCTTTGAAAGACTTCATGTGTTTCGCAAGAACGTGACTGACACGATAAGATGCTATGGTAGCAGCCTTGCTCTTGTTGTTGGGCCTGGTGAAAATGGACTGCTGTGCTGCATTTAGCTGTCCTTTCAGGTCCCTCCCCTTTTGGGAGCGTAGGGCAGAATCAGGAGGGAATTCCGTCTCGTAGCGTTTGTGCACTGTTTTGAAATGCCGCTCCTAAATTACCCTTCTTCGATAAAGCAACGCTCGCATTGCAGATAAGACAGATGGACTTTGAATTGGAATAGATACAAAAATAATCATCCTCCCACTCGGAGTGAAAATTATATATTTTGGGCTTTTTTGCTTCTGCCATAATTGCGGTCTTGTGTGTGTGCGGACTGTCACTGCACTGCCCACTGCCCACCAGCCACGCCGGCCAATCACAAAGCTTTGATGCGTTCAAGTGCATTATTCTGGCACGGGAAGATTATGTTACAGGACATTAACGATAAAACAGAATATTGTTGTTCTATTTTTAGACACATCTCTCGCGATCGACTGGGAATCTCCCCGCGACCATTCTTTTTAACTAGTTGCTGCTCTTGTTCTGACATCTTCGCTCGCGCTGAACACATGTCACTCCCACGTGGCCGAGTGGGCTTTTAGGGAGGGGCGAAAGCACACCCAGCAAAATAATCGTATTTTGTCAATTATGCTGTTTTCATAATCGTCACAAGCCATAATCGTAATCGCGATTAAAATACGATTAATTGCACAGCCCTACCTTCAAGTACCTTTATTATACATGTACTTTTACTATTACTTGAGTAAAAACCCTTTAACACTAGAACCGCCAACGGGTCAATTTGACCCCAGCTGTTTTTTGATTGTATGTAACTTTTTTTCCAATACAATATTCAAGTCTCCCAGTCCGTGACTTTTCCTGAAAGTGTGTTATGTAGCACCCTCTGTTGTCAAAAATTGTCAATATGAAGTAAGATTGAAAAAATCGTCAAAGAAAATGCCATTTATACCTATATCCGCCAGCGGGTAATATTTACCTCATAGAAAATGCAGCGTAAACATGACGTGTTGATATAGCAACGCCTTTTGTCTACTGCGGTTCCTTATAGATAGATAGATAGATAGATCAAAACTCACTCTTCTTGTATGATAAATAAAAGAACATTGTAACTTGAAAATCAATAGCGGGTACATTTGACCCGTTGGCAGTTTTAGGTATACAGCGACCTCTGGCGGTTCTAGTGTTAAAGTAACTGTACTATTACTCAACTACAATATTTGATTAGATTGGCACAGAGCATTTTTTTTTAAAACAAATGACTTACTTTTGGTTCAGAGTACAGCGCTCGACAATTTATTTGCAATCACAAAGTAGCCAACTACTATTTATTATTACAGTTACTGTAATACATGAAACTGACTTGATTGTTTTATGATCAAATACTGGAAAAAGGTCAAAAATGAATCCTTCCCATTAGCCAAATATTACCATGTCAATACCGGTGAGCTTAAAACAGACTAAAACAAAGTGGTGAACATGGTTCACATTATATCTGTCCAAAACGTGTCAGTTTAGACAGTGTGAGCATGTTAATATGTTGACATTAGCATTCATCTCTAAACCCACTGTACCTAAATGCAACCTCACAAAGCCGCTAGCATGGCTTTCCTCTTAGTGTCTTGCCAATGTTTGACTCACCTTTGGCTGGATGACAGCAAACAGGTCCCTCCCAATGACAAGTTCTTGGGCAAAGCAGTAGTGCTCATTAGAATGGAAGGCAATGCCGAAGAGGCCCACGATGCAGGGGTGGCAGGACAGGTGTAAGGAGATGCAGTACTCTCGCAGAAAGCCCTGCAGCTTAGTCGAGGCTTTGGGCATCACTTTCAAGGCCATGGGGGTCCCTGCAAGTAATTTGGCTATTATTATCATTGTTCATGCATATCTTCTTTGTCTTAGGGTTAGGGACGCAGTGCTGATATTTAGTAGTTTCTGTATGGATTTTCTACAACCTTAAGCTGCACCGAGATCACTTCCTAACCCCCCTTCCAATGTTATTTTTAAGTGAAAGCTTCCAGGCCTTAAGCCAACCAGCCTAATGCCAGGTCGTGCTTTGCATTCTGCTCTGTCCTTTTCTAAACAGACACATTCATTGCTCCACTTTGGCTCGACTTATGTCCTCTCAGGTCACCTAGTCAGAGGACGGCCATCACCCACCTTATGTTATATTCAAATGATGTGTTTCCCACCTCTCTTCTATTCACTCTAATTTCTCTGTAAAGTTCCTTAAAGTCTCTCCAGTCCAACCTTTTTGCTCTATAAATGACAACTTATTTGCATTTACTGGAAAATGTAGGAAGTTATTTATTTGTGTAGGTTGTACTGGTCGCTGTTTGTAATCAAGTCTCCTAGTTAACTTAATGAAAGTGCTAGCCCTAACCCCCTAACACTGAGCTGATAACCCTAACCCTAAAATTGAAATTAAACAAATGACTACCCCTAACCCTAAAACAATTCCATTCCTTACATTCCTAAAAATTGGCTAAAACATGTAATCACCTACTTTTTAGATATCGATTTGCAACAGATTCAAATCAATGCATATGTACGGGGGAAAGAAAGTGAACATTTTCTCGACAGGATTATATTACTGTATTTGGTGTTGGAAAGAAATTGCTACAAGGTTACTCTCCACTGAAAGAGATTGTAAATTAGAGTGCAGTCTAACCCCTGAAGCGATGTGTGACCAGCAACACTTTGCCATATTTCCCCCGGCCGATCTCCTTGACGATGTTGAAGTGTTCCTGGATCTCCCTCTGGCTCAGGCTCTGTGCCGTCAGCTCCATCAGCTCGTCGATCAGGCTGCCGTCAGCCAGGCCCAGCTCAATCATCAGGAGAAACTACTCAAATCTTAGGGTTACAGAAACCAGCTATTACAAATCAGAAATGTTCTATAGCAAATAGAAAAGTTCACAATGTCCCTTTCTAACAGGAACTATCGTCCAGGAAAGAATGACTTAAAAATAAATACTGTTCAATCCGTATTTGTATTATAATATAGTATAGCTAGTATATGTGTTTTTCCAATCTAAATCTCAAGACATACAGTGGGGATTTATTTAGGTGTAAACAAGAACAAGCGTTTAAACAAAGTTAACTCTTTTTGTTCCTCTTGCTTTTTAAGGTGTATTTGTTTTTTTAATGTTAAAAATATTAATCAAAGGAAATAATGAGAAGTTTTGGCAAAAGTGGTATTTTGAAACTACATTTGAGTGTAGTCTATCCCTAAAAAGTCAAAAATGGGATGGTTTTCAACTAATGTATACGTGGCTACAATAATTTTCTAGCATGTATTCTACTTTCCTGTTATGTTATGTACCGATTTGGTGATAAGCCATTATATTGGCTACATTTACTTTATCCCTTATTTATGGGTTGTTCTTTTTTATTTCCCTTTTCCCAAATCATTTCAGCTACTTGTCCCTCTCCTCCTGAGTTGATTTGAGGTTATTCAGATCACCTGTTGGGGTTCCCTCTCGGCCAATCAAATATGACCCTGCTCTTTCTAAAAGGGTTAAGAGTGGTAGAGAATTGCACACCTAGGACATTCTGATCCTTCTGCCATATAATGTACACCTCATTTCAGCAGATATTTTCAGCCAGGAGCTCTGCAATTTAACCTTTTGACACTTCTTTTCTGAGCTTTTAATGATTCCGAAACCGATTTTTGTTGGAAATTAGGGAATACATTTACATTAGGGGTCCATCCAAAGTCTCCTAAACTCAATCCAGGTCTTACTTTGATGGCAAAGACTTATTTCTAGCCTTTTTACTAGTGATGTTACGTATTGCGGAGAGGCTTCAGAGCGTGTGTCGAGTAATCCCCGAAGCTTTTTGTGAAGCTTGTATCGAGGCTTGTATCGTTTTGGGCCAGTGACGTCATCGATGACAAACGAAGCCTCGCTGCCTGTCGTTACCACATGACTGCTTCAGAAAGTGCTTTAGATCGGTTGAACCACAACGCTCATATTACCCATGGATGTATAATAAGAACCATATTACCCCTCCTGTACCCGGGCCCGGTGACGGAATTAAGAGAGCTCAGACCCTCACTTATATAGAGGTCGGAATATTTCATAAGTATAAATAAAAGCATAAATAAATGTAGGAATAAAAACATGAATAAATAGGATGCAGTGTTTTCGGGTAGATTCAGTGTGTGGGCTGTGTCTCAGCTGGAAAGCAATTGACTCACAACCGCAGGGTCCATGGTTCAAGTCTTTATTTTTGTTTATAAAAGCTACTGTACAGCTAAATGAGAATGTAGTTAACTAGAGAATGCAATTCCTGAAGAAATTGCCAGTGGGAATGCTTTATGCTGAAAAGCTGACGCTGAATTTCTATGCTGAAATGTAATGTGTAAGAAGAAAGTGAAGAATTTAGATTGAAATGATACATGAACACTGGGGTCTTGAATGTGTGATAAGAGAAGAAAAGAAAGGCTTGGAAAAACAGCAGAATATTTGAACTTCAAACTATTGAACTAACTTGATGGCGAGTGGTCTGTCGCCATGGCAACGACATTTGATGACACCCCATAATACGCTTAGATGCGTTGATGGCTGCATCGTTACCAAACCTGGGAAATTTTGGGCCATTTGGAGCATTTTCACTGAAGTTATGAGAAAACCGTGTTCATGGCAACGGCATTTGAAGAAATCTCAAAACTGTCCCGTAGATGTCTTCACGGCTGGACTGTTAGCACACATGTGAAGTTTGACCACTTTTTGAACATTTTCATAGGAGTTAATGTATAGCGACATCGTCTTTTATGGCGAGGGATGCGTTTCCATGGAAACGGCATATGATGACACCCCATAATTGATGTAGAGCTGTTGAGGGGAGGACCATTAACCATTATCTGAAGTCTGCTGCTCTGAGCATGTCAGTTGGAGTTATGACATCATCGTGTTCCATGACACAGGTGTTTATATTTGAGCTAACGACGTGTCCAGAGATCAAAGGTTTCCATTGTTCTGAATAGGAGATAAACCTCTTACATGTGAACGTTTTGTTGAAGAATCGTAACAGATATCGGTGAAATCGAAATCTCAAGGACCTTGAGTATCTGAAGTGTGCTTTTTGTGTACTTTCGGGTCAATAATGTGGCCTTTTTGGCAGATTAACTAAAAGGTGTGCGGCTGCTGCTGTGAGGAAATATCAGCCTGAAATTACAATGGGCTTTAATGGAGACATGTTGAACGTTTTTGTCACTTCATGCCCTCAAGAGGCATTTTTTAAAATTATTTTGTGCTTAATTATTTGTAATTTTTCAAGCTACGAGATGTTTTCCTACATTTGTCATGAACAATTATGTCTCAGGAATGTAGGGTTTGGGAATTATGGCAGTTTTAACAAAATATATGAAGGCACATTTCAAGCTGTCCTACACTCTAGCTGTGACATCATACACTCTAGTTAATGTTAAAATCTGAAGGCCTCTGTACCAAGGTCTGAACAATGTTTAATATCTCTAAAAGTAATTATCAGATGTAAAAGTTGTGTTGTTGTCGCATGAAGGTTGTTGAAGTCTGAAGATTTTCTCCATTGTGAATATCTCATGAACTTCCCCACTCAATCTATCAAGACCCGAGCAGTTGTGTAGAAGTCCAAGGCAGGGAACGGGCCGGCGCAAATCGGTCAAAGGAATCCTTAGCCATATGAACTTTGACCCTAGGAGATAGAGGACAGAGGTGGAGAGGCACAACATGTCTACGTAAATGCACTCCCTTAGAATGAAGTAAGAAACAGAGGTAGAGAGGCACAACGTGTCTACGTAAATGCACTCCCATGGAATGAAGTAAGAAGTAAGAAACCGAGGTAGAGAGGCACAACGTGTCTACGTATATGCACTCCCTTAAACATGAAGTAAGAAACCAAAGTAGAGAGGCACAACGTATGTACGTAGATGCACTCTCCTAAAATAGTTTAAGGGAAAGGGGTGAAGAAATAAAAAGTAAGAAACTGAAATGAAAAGGCACCACATTGCGTAAATGCTTCCCCTTAGAATAGGGTGGAAATTATGATCAGGGGACAGGGACACAAGTGAAGAGGCACAACGTGTCAAACCTTGACGTAATTGCACTCCTCAAAGAGAAAGAAAGTAAAAAGTATAAGCAGAGAGGCACAATGTGTCTATGTAAATGCACTCTCCTGAAAAAGTTTAAGGGAGAAGGGGTGAAAAAAATATATAAAATATTTGTATATAAAGAAAAATAGAAAGCAAGAAGTATAGGTAGAGAGGCACCACGTGTCAACGTAAATGCACTCTACTAGAATAAGTTTAAGGGAAAGGGGTAGAAAGCAAAAAAGTACAAGAGGAAAGGCCCAACGTGTCTACGTACAAGCACTCTCCTAGAATAGCTAGAGGGTAAGAAGTAGAAAGTATAAGTGGAAAGGCACAACTAAAAAGTGTCAATGCACTCTCCTAGAATAGTTAAGAGAAAAACAAGGGGGGGTAGGAAGTAAGAAGTCCGAAACAGAGGTGAAAAGGCACAACGTGTCTACGTCAATGCACTCCCCTGCCTGTCTAAGCATCTCTGTAACCCGTTCCCTTCTACGAGGCCATAGACCAGGAGAAGTAAACGGGGGGTAGGGGTCAGGGATAAAGGGTTTTAGGGTAAACCGCAGGGTCAAAAGTGGAAAAATATTGTATAGAAGGTAGAATATTCCTATTAAAAAAATATCTGGTCTAAATCAGGAGTATATGGTTCAAGGAAGAATCACAGAACATAAAGTCAGTCCAGTCGTAATGATGTTTCAACTACTACTTTGGAAAGTCTGAAAAGATAAAAATGTAACGTCCTAATTTATGCCAAAATGTTTAAATTAAATCGACACATCCTCAATAGTGGACCCAGATATCATTGAGTGTTTCGGCCATTTATCACCAGACACTCTAACCCCAGGAAGGCCCTGCTGGGGTTGATCAAGTCCCCACAGTGTGTCCAATAAGGAATAGAAAGAGAAAGAAACTAAGTTTTTAAGCCAAAAAACTGTGTCCCATACAATGCAAGACCCCAGAAAAATGACCAATATTAAATAAGATCTAATATTAACACCAGAGAAAAGGTCAGTCGGGTCAACAATAAAAGTACTAAGAAATAGAAAACAACGGTACAACCGCACACACTAGATCCGGAGATAGAGACCAAAGCCGGTGCATCCACGGCCCAGACACCAAGGACTAGAGGACGATAGCTAAAGGGATGTGACAATTAGGAACACGCCAATTAGGTACTTTTAAAAAAGGACTTAAAAATAAACGGATGTGGTGTAGTATGGACTGCTGTTGTGGGAGGACTAAATCCCATAGAAAACTGGGTAGCGATTAAGATCCTGACACCCTGGATCGCCACAACCTGCGTCCTGTCCCAGAATGGGACCCAGAAAGGCCGCAACTTACCACCCTGACTTGCAAAGACCAATTGTTAGCACCGCAAGGTATTCCCTTGGTAGTAGAAGTAGTCTATTACAACCCAGTCACCCTCAGTAGAGGTTTCAGAATCAAAATTAGGGTTTACACCCAATATAAAAGTGTCACCATGAGGGAGAAAGGTCTACCTAAAACATAAATAACCCCAGATACCCAACACCTGGTAACTTGTGAAAAAACAAACCCCAAAGTGTACCCAGGCACACCACCAACAAAAAACCTTTCCAGAGCAATCCCCTAGGTGAAGAAAATAATAGGGATATGGGATTAGAAAAAAGTAATGAAACCAAACAATCAGGAAAACAGACTGACCACATTTTGGAAAAGAGGGTTCGGCAAACCTAAATCTATTTAATGCGGACCCACACAAAATATAGGAAATCAAGAAAAATAGAA